GCCCAAGGGCAATATAAAAGCTAAGGGGTCATCCAATACAGATGGAGGAATGGAAGATTTCTTTACAGTAAAGGATGAGTGAACTGTGTAATAAATTGGTTTCCTTACAATAAAAGGGGGTTCACTGTGGAATAAGAATGCTTTGTAATGCAAGTGGCGACGGTGAGCAGTAGAAAGGGGCTCCTTTAAGTAAGAGAAAAGCGGAAGAGAAAGGTCATGCATGTGCTTAGTAAAAGAAAGCTTGCCGATTTAATCTCAGCATTCACCTGACTTTCCTTGTGGTCAGAAAGGATTTTGTTTTCCATTTTACAGACACAATTGGCATTGGTCGCATTGGCCATTTTGCTTTTGCCGTTGTCTGGATCACCACAGCGAGAGACCATAAAAGGCTGAGAGTGAAAAACCTGTGTTTTGTATGTTCATGACATCACTCATTTTAATAACTATGACATCATACCAGCCCTTTCTCCTGCCCACCCCTTTCCCTTTATCCACAGATGTCAACAGATGTCAATAGAATCTCAGAAACACCTTTGCAGCAGAAAGCTGCTGGGTGGCTGGTCACATGACAGAATGCCTATATATAGGTCATGTGATCAGAGGATCAGAATTCAGATGGACATTCACAGCGGTCAACTCTGAATCATACGACCAATGCCTAGCTGTTTTCATCAGCTGATCGGCCGGTGTTAAAGTGACACTAAATTCCAGAGTTAAATCTTAAAAATAGATTCAAGTCCGTTAATTATTTACAGCAATGGGGGGGGGGGGATTTATCAAAACTGGAGCAGAGAAAATCTGGAGCAGCTGTGCATGACAACCAATCAGCTTCTCTCCTCAGTTTGTTCATTTAAGATGTGAAAATGAAAGAGAGAAACTGATTGGTTGCCACGCACGGCTGCTCCAGATCTTCTCTGCTCCTGTTTTGATAAATTCCCTTCAGTGTATCTTATTTGTGTATCACTCGGCTGTAGATCCTCCAATCATGTCTGACACTGTCCTTCCTTCTGGAGGGGGGCTACGTCTGTTCCCCATGGTCCCTGTGTGTGTTGTAAAGTAGTCACCGCTCCAAGCTCGCTCTCGGGATGGACTACAATCTCATGTTTAGTTTATGAATTTACACAGGAAGTCCCCGGGTTACAAACAAGATAGGGACTGTCGGTTTGTTCTTAAGTTGAATTTGTATGTAGGTTGGAACAGGTACATTTTTTAAGTCTAACTCCACCCAAAAAAGGTTGTTTTTGTTTTGGATAGCATAAGGAAGGGTTAACCCCCCTGTAAAGTGTGTGTTGCTGTGTGTGCCCCTGCTCAGAAGATTTCACCTCACTTTCCCTCCCTGTGACAATAGGATTTTGAAAATTTGGGGTTTAGATTCAATGGAGACACCTTTTCCCCATGATTACTCTTACAGCTGTGAATTTCCCTTCCTAGGGGTAGATTTTCTCTCACTTCCTGTTGTCTCAAGGACAGGAAGTGAGATTAAATCTTTCTAATGAGGATACAGACCGCAGTAAAAACCTCACAGTGACCCCGGAAGAAGAGGCGGGCACCCCCCGTCTGCACGTCTAACAAGAGCCAACTTCCTGTAATGTACATACAGGACTACAAACCAGACCCAAAAAGGTGGGCGCTCCTCGCCGGCACGAGCACGGTAGCATTACAACTACCCCCGCTGTACAGTTATAGTCTCCGTTTGTAAGTAGGAGTGGCATGTATGTAACTCGGGGACGGCCTGTACTGAGATTGTAGTCCATCTCGGAAGCCGAGCTCAGAGCCGTGGCTACTTTACAACACACACAAAAGTGATACACAAAGAAGATACATTGTTGTTCATACGGGTTCTTGAATGTAGAGAGAAAAGGAAAGATGAGTGAGAGAGAAGAGGAGAGAAGAGAGAGAGGGAGCTTGGAGCGGTGACTACTCTACAACACACACAGGGACCATGGGGAACAGACGTAGCCCCCCTACAGAAGGAAGGACAGTGTCGGCACCAATTCAGAGATGATTGGAGGATCTACAGCCGAGTGATACACAAATAAGATACATTGTTGTTCAGAGTTCGGGGACTTGAATGTTTTTTTAAGATTTACCTCCGGAGTTTAGTGTCACTTTAAAGACAGGTATGTGTGTGTGTGTTTGTTTGTTTCCTTTTTCTTTTATTCCTCTATAAATGTAAAAGATTGCAGACGGTGGGCGGTAGGTTGGGGGGTTATATGCTATTATAGAGCTTTTAAACACAATAATGCATTGCCCCCCGCTAAGTTTCAATAAAAACAATATGGAATTTAAGGAATTCTGGTGAACGCATTTGTTAAAGTATAATATATATAAAATAAAATAACAATGTAAACATGAAAACACGGGTTCTTTTTGCCCTCTTTAACCCACGCTTCAGATACTCTTCAGTCGGTAATAATGCAGCTTTTAGACACAAACTTTGCTTTTTGTGCAACCACAAAAAAAAACAAAAAAAAAAACGTAAAAACAGTAAAATGCATTCCTGAGACGAAAAGGTTTATACAAAAGGAAAAAACAACAACTTGAGATTGAAACTGCAGCACGGCGCAGTTATCAACCTGGAAAAGAAAAGCACAAAAGGGATGGACCTACACGGCTTGTCGTTTGAAAGGACAACAGAGAGTGCTTCAGTTTTCTCCTTTTTTTTTTGCTTTTAGTGGGAAAAAAAAAGATCAAAACTGTATAAAAAAAACGGCAGATAGCGACGGCGGGTGCGCGGCAGTCCCTACCAGAAGATTAAAATGGATGGCCAAGGTCACATTCAAGTTCAGCGATCTCTCTAAAAGCACTTAGCCTGTGGCCTCCCCCCCTCAGCCTGTGGCCTCCCCCGTTAGCCTTCAATAATCATATCAGGCGTGCTTTGCCGCATGTAACACCACACTGTGTTCGCTGAGCTCTAACAATCCTTATTTTGCTTTCTAACGAAGGGGAGTCGCCAGTTGTGGCCCAAAATAGGGATTGTTGAGGCAAATGAAAGTTGAGTTAAACTGTCGGCAAAAATCTAAAATGTCTATTATTAAAAGTAGATAATAATAGACATTATATCTACAAACACTCAGCGAGTGTTATATCAGCCGCCGAAACATATCAGCCGAAAATGGCACTTTTGGCTAAATGCCGAAAGTGCCATTTTCTGGCCG